TTGTTTTTTAAAAGGTGGTGTGTGTGGGTGGGGGGGGGGGGGGGGGGGTGTTCTTAATTTCCACTCTGAAACCTTGAATACCATGGCTTAGCCTGGAGCATTTTCTTTTTAATGTCTGAATTATAAAGCTTTGAATATAGAGATTTAGAACAGAGACACTGTCAGATCCGTAACGCCAAGAGACAGTATGTGTGGTGAGTAACTCTGCGAGGATTTTGGAGACAATTTTCAACTTCTACTGATGTGCTGTAACCAGCCTGCAGGAAGAAAGTCCTCAAATGACACTGTCAAAAATCTCTTTGAACACCATTTACTGTTTCATCTTTTAGCTGTCAGTCTAGTTAGACCTCTCTTGTAGTAGTAGAGAAAGAGCCTTTAATGGAAGTGGCATTTCCTGTCTTAAAGTTTCTAATAGTGGATAAGAGGCTTTTCTTTGGACTGAGCTACAGTGAGGAAGGGGGAAACGCACTGTGAGCTCCATTGTTTGTTAAAACAGAAGAAGCTTTCCAATAATAAAATAGGGATGCATGGCTTAGTGAATTTAAATCCTTCCTGAAGTTTCATTTGCTTAAGAGAAAAGAGATGCTGAGCTGATAGAAATCTACATAGTTAGTAGTGGTAGCATTCAGTGGGTTTATAGCATCTTATACTATTTAAGCATCTGTCTTCCCAAGAATCACTTTTTCTTATAGTTGATTAGATATTTTCTGACAAGCACTTTTAGAGTCTCACTGGTCTAAGAGCTCCAGATTACTCCATTGCATTAACGGTAGCTTATCCTTGATTGGTTCTGTCTGGCAGACTGGAAAGCATGCCTTTCTGTAATTGTTCAGTTTGTTTTAGGCAAAGTTGATTTAGGAGGAAGTGAACAGAGAGACTAAAATGATTCTTTTCCTCATTGCTTTGCAATATATCTGAGCAGGGGGCTGTACAGGTACTTGTAGCTCAGCCTTAAAAATATGTGGTAAAGATTCTCCAGTAAAGTTTCTCACAACCTCTCTAGGGTAAGGAATCTTATGATTTCTTATGTTTCCTGCCTGGCCACGATGGAAAACCACTTCAAGTTCTCTGTTGACCTGGGCCACTTACAGTATTGTGTTTCAGCCATAAGCCAATAAAAAGGAATAGCAAATGCATTTGGCATGTACAGCTTGTGAGGATCTCAAAGTCTGACTTGTACTTGTGTGACACATTACTTAAGTAATTTTGAATGACAAACACGCTTCACTGTGAATAGCATTCTCATCCATAACCGTGACAAAACCTTAACTACACCTGACACTCCCAGAATGCCTCTGGAAGCATGCATGTATACAGTAGCTTTCATTTACAAAATGAGATTCATGTTGTCATGTTTTTTTCATGAACTTTATAAAATATAAAGTAGCTAATTGTTCCTACTGTGGATAAAAACCTTTAGAATAGTTAGAAGTGAAAACTTCTCATCTTACTCGAGTGACCTAGGTAAGCAGGATTCAGCGCTGTATGAAAATGCAGACTTTGCTTCAAAAGGGATTCAAAACCTTTTGAATGCTTATACTGTACATTGTAGAGTTGATTTGTAACCCACTCTATTGGAGCATGCTTTTTCGGCAGTAACTATTTAGTGCTTTTGTGGCAATGTTAGTGTTAACTTTAGTTCATTTTTTAAGTCAAAGATGTGTTTGTCCCATAGCATTCACCTTGGGGGCAGGCAAGTCCCACAAGTATGTCCATAACAGAACCTGGCAGCAATAACCATTTGTATATAATCCAGTTTAGGTCATTTGGTGGGATGGTACATTTTAGTGTTTTAAAATATTGCGGTACTGGCAGGATATTGTATCTAACTTGTGTTTTTAAACATTTCAAATTCTATTTTGACTTGAAATTATGAGGAATGATTTGGGTGTCAGTTATGACTTCTTTATGTGACAAGAGAAAGGGATTTGTGTGCTATGGTGTTTCAAATGATTTCACTGCTGCAAGGCTTTCTTTAGGTTATGGAATTAGAAAAATAAAATAACCTTGAGACATATTTTGTTTTAGGGATTTTTTTTACATGCTTAATTTTATTTAATTTCTCTATAACCCAACCAAATCCCCAAGGTCAAATCAAGCACCAGCAGCAACATACTATGTAAAGGAGAGATTATAATAACATGCTTAACCATGAAGATTGGTTTATATATAATCACTTTTTGTATGCAGCTCACTCAATTGAAAATTAACAATAACTACTCTGGTTTTTATTATTTGGTTTTACTTTTTTAAAAAAAAAGACTCGGCACTCAAATTCTTTATTTTGAGTGAAACAAAAGATAAAACTACCAAAAAATTGAAAAAATAGCACACATTATTTTAAATTACATATGAGATTTCAGTGCAGGGAAATCTCTTAGCATACATAAAGCCTCAAACTAATTTTCTGTTAAGTATTGAATTAATCACTTTTTCCCTTAAAGGTTTTTATTGTTGTTATACGGTATTAAAAGGCGGCAGCAGGTCCATTTATTTCTCTCTAATCCTACTGTGATTTAATTCTTTTGATTTATGCTTGGCAAATGAAATGATTCTGATGTGAATGAATGCTGCTATGCTTATGAAAGGTCATCTTCAGCATAGTGATAACAATGTTAAAAAATTTATATCCTCTCTCCAAAATACAAAAAAATATATTTTTTTAATTAAAAAAATCATATAATGTAATTTCATGTAATGATCCCTAGTATTTCTTCAGAATATTTTGCCTTGAAATATCCTGTGTATCAAACTTTGGCTAATAATGATAATTATAATAAAAATATCTAAGTGGTAGCACTTTTAAGTTGACACAATATTAGAAATTTAGCATATAAACTTTAGTAATTGTAGATTATCTTAATTTCTTCTTTCCCTTCTGGATACCTTGACCAAGAAAACAAGTGTTTTGTGGCCTGATACATGTAATAGCCTCAACAATGTTTAGTAATAAGGTGTTGATTTAAACACAGTGCTGTTTAACAGCTAACCTCAGTCAGCATGCTGTCCCATAAAACCCATATGTGTAGTGATTCCTGCCTGCACCTGAAAGACTGGAATGTAAAATCACGTCAATCATCTCTATGAAATGATAGTATGATTTAATCAACCATGCCAGAAATCCTGGGGAACAACAAGCTTAAAAGTGAATGTGCTAAACTATTTCAGTTCTAGGTGTTTAACATAGCCCTTGCGTTCATTTTCAGGGAGAAGGGCTGTACAGGCTATTTAAGCCATGTATAGTCTGCCAGGGGTTAATAAGTCATAATTCCCTCTGGGATTTGCATTTCTGTTATTTGAAGTGTGTTCCTTTGTTGCAGAAAAGCTACCTGCTGTTAGAAAGAGCTTAAATGTATGAGTAATACAGCTGTTTTCCCACTAATCCGGTTATATGCTTTGATAGCAGTAAGTGGTAGATGATAGGGGCAGCAATTCAATCCCAGCACGCTATGATTTAGCGACTTGGTTTCAGATGTTGACACAGAGTGTAATTTGTTTATGATTGTGGGTAGGCTAAGGTTTCTGGAGAAATGTATTTCAACTTCAGATCTGTAGAAGGTGAAAAAAATGCACTGAAGAAAAGCACTAACTGGTAGCAGCTGATATGTTAGAGGTCAGAAGCTGTAGGGCTACTTAGAATCACTTAACCTTTTAAAAATCCAACCCTATATTTACTGTTTAGAAACCAGAAATTAAATAGTCTGCATGTGTTAGGGATAATGG